GAGGAGTTTGTCAACATGAATCACCGCGTTTATAAAAAGGTGGGAAAATCGTGTGCTTTCATTTTTTATCACCTTGAACACAGTTCTATTTAGACGACTCCAGAGTAATGGAGATTCACAACTCGATTTACCTTAGGTTGTCGGTTTTTATAAGCATTATTTCTTGAATTTGGAGGAACTCGAAAGAATCTTTGGGACAAGGCAACCTTCTGGATGTTGTTTCAGAAGTGCACATCGAGTAGCATTCGAAAACGAGTTCAAACTTCAGATGAGAGAGGCTTTTTTGACTTACGGGAACACACTACCCGCGTTTTTCAGTAACTGCACACCAAAACAGAGTGTTTATACGTTTACCATGGTTTTCTACGATGATTCAAACGCCCATTCTTTTGCTTCGTACCAAGGAAGTTTAGTTTACCGAAAGAGAATTTAATATCAGAACCGTTTGGTCGTTTGTAAGCCCCCTGTGGTGGATTATGGTGTCTGGGGGATGTAATTGCCGGCACGCAGTTATGGGTACTCACACACAGGGTGACAAGCATGCACGTAGAAATCGACCGGGAGATGCGAAAAGCCCTTGCGCAGGACTGGGAGGCCTGGTAAAAGAGAGGATCGCAATTCTAAAGCTGATCGCTCATGGGGGTGGGAAGGGGGGCAGGGCGAATCATCAGGCACGCAGGACGGCAGCGGTGAGAGCAGCGTCTGCCCCTCGCCAACATGTCTACATTGTTAACTGGCGTTCTGGGCCTGGATTAGAGACGCGTTTGGCGCCTTTTCGATGCCCCACTACGTCGACGCGATCAATCTGTTCCCACGCCAGAAAAAATTGCCACTGCCATTATTTTAAACATGTGCCAGCCACTCTCCGTCCTGATCGACCACATTCGTATCTGCCGCAGCGAGAGCGTCATTGGGACACAGAAGACAACCATCAGCAATGGAGGCGCGGTGCCTACAAACCGCTATTGCAGTCACACCTCCGAAGTACGCATCAACCCGGTCGATCACAAAATCTATAGCGGCGTAACTAGATAGCCGGTGTCAGAAAACCTGATCAACGGCCGTCGTGTGTGCTTTTCATGTCTGCATTATACCTGGGAAATCATTCTCCACGTGGGCCTATTTGGCCATGGACAATTAAATAACCATGATGGCTGCAACATTTGTCAGCACTTGTGCGTCCATAGTTCATGCACAAGTCACTCGGCGAGGCTTTCTAACACCAGGAATGAGAGGCGCACGTAGTGAAGGTGAGTATTTGTCTGTGGCACGTGCCGGACAGAGGTTTTATGCCAAAAACAGCACCCAGTCTTACCGCCAGTCAACCGGCATGCCTGGTCAGGCCACTGCTGCATGACAGTTACTGATTCACCCTTCTTTATGACACTCTTCCACACTCCTTACCATAATAAATCTGGCGCACTCAAAACTGTTGCGGAGTGCTAAAAGTTATGGCTTGGGAGGTTAGCAGTTGAGAGGGTCGCTTGGTATTCCCCTGAAACGGAGGTAAAGTTAAAATAATTTCTTTTCCCAACGAACCTTGGGATAGTTCTCCTCGATAAAGGGTCCTGTTTTTATTCTCCGACCACTGGATCCGCGCCCATCACCAGTCGTCTTAGCTCTTTTCTTGTCATTGAACCACGATGGGTATGGGAAGAGGTAGTTGCGTAGATGCTGCAAAAGTCAGCCTCACTGTGGGACGAATCGCACGCAGGTCACCGTTGCAGTCTCTTCGGGTCAGTGGCCGACCTCGTCGTTTACAATGGCCAAGCAATGGGTTAGCGGTGTGCAGATTGCAAACTATGGCCTTACAATAGGATTCTTAACAAAGAATTGTTGGCAGTTCTAAATCTGCAGTCTGTTTTTCTATTCTACAGGGTGATGACGAGTATGATAATCAAAGTGTCCTTTCCTTCAAATCACTGAGTACTGTTTCTTCAACTCTATCGGTAAGGCCCTTACATTCTTCAACAGTGTGGACTGCCAGTTATACTTAGTATTCTCGTTCATCTGCTACCTACTTGTAAAATGTCATTAACGCTCTTAATTTTTTTATTTTCTTGGACTCCTCAGGTTATGGAACCCGAAATCTCTGCTACCAAGGAGGTTCTTCGTCTGAATAAACCCGAAAAAGTGTTCCTTATTTTTGGTATTTTCATGGCTGTCGTCAATGGCGTCATTAATGTACTTTTCCCGGTTATGTATTCTGAACTGTACGATGTAAGTAACGGCCTCTTATATTTTCGTTCTGGTCGAAACTTAACATTCACATTACGCACAGTTATGTTCATTAATGTAGAGAAGTAAAGATACCAAGTGAGACCCTTTTATGAAAAAATGCATACCTTTAGGGAGGAGGTTCACTTATATTCTCGGCCGTCTTGGAAATTTACAGTGCTGAATATGCAACTTTCCTGCATAGGACCACCAAACAGCAGCGATCGGCACTGCAGAAAAGCGGAATTTTGTCCAGCCAGAGAAGACTGGCTTTAATACCCTCCTGTGAATTTACCTACTAGTTGTTTGAACAAACGTAAGCGGTTACCCATAGAAGCGGGCAGGCAAGTTCCAGGAAGCAGTTCAGAAGAAGAATAAGATGCGATCACTGGAACAAGAAACTTATTGGCCTGACGTTTCAGATTCTCACTCGAACCCATCATCAGAGACAGTCGTGAGAATCTGAAACGTCAGGCCAATAAATTTCTTGTTCCAGTGACCGCATCCTCGTCTTCTGATAAGCGGTTACGCTGTCTGTGGCGGTATGGCGCCTTCGGCGCTAGACAGTTGGCAATTTTGCCGGCTTTGCAATTAAATGCTATCCGATCTTTACGTCTCTGTATGCGCGCATACTTAAAACATCGTAAAGAATTAGATCGGTGGTGCAGAAATTTTCCACATTTTTAGCATCTCCAGGGAATGTAGTCAGGTCCTTCAGTAGTTCGTCCCTAAAAAGTTCGTTAACTAGGATTTTCGATTTTTCAACCCGGGACATTGGAGCTGAATAGTAAATGAAGTGGGTTTTGCAGCCAGTACGCGAATGCGCGACCACGAATCTTATTGGATTCTCCAAAGGCCAGTTGGACGAAAGGCTGCAGTCAGTCACCTCGGGCCTGTGAACCTTTTAGTTATTCCGGCTCAATTCACCGTCTTCTATCGCCCGAAAGTGCGAATACCTTCCTAAGGAGCAGAGATCAATGACTAAGTTACATCTGGAGGCGATTTTTTTCCGAATGGCTACCCGAGACTTCGAGAGATTATCTTCTAGGGCGAGGACAGGTTAAAAGAACAGCTACGTTTTCGAATGTCGCCACAGTCAAGTAATTGCGCTTTTCTACCCTACTTCGGTCATTTGAATCAACTGCTGCTCTCTTTTGAATTTTTTGTTTGTTTGCACATTCCGTGTTTCCTCTCTGCTGCCAAATCCACCTGCCTTAAAGATTTACCTCCAAGTGGCCAGTGTTTGCTACCTGTCCATTCACATGAGAATGGCTTATAGGCCACTTCCCATTGCCGAAATTTTATTACGAGAAGCATATAAATTTTGTAAAGGGTGACGAGAGTTTCCACGAAACTGAGATCCTTTGGATTTTCTAAATTTCAGATCTTTCAGGAAACTGACACACAGACGCAGCTTGACAGAACGGTCGTTTTGGCCATACTTTTGGCTGTGCTAGCTGTTGTTAGAATTTCTGCCCTCACAGCTGGGGTGAGTTTGCACGTCCCGAGTGCGCTTAACTAAAACATCCAAATCCATGTTTAACGTATTTTTCTTCTGTTGTTAAATCAAGGGCTACTGTATGGGCGTTGCGGGCGAAAGATTGACTAAGCGCTGCCGGAGTCTTCTCTTCAAGGCCATACTTAATCAGGTAATTCTACTCTGTGACATTTACACGCAAGTGATCCGGACCGCCGTCCCTTTTTGAAAACCTGACACGTTGCGCGAGAGCTAGCCCGTGTGTCGCACGCGTAGACCAGCTGTTCGGCTTTGTCAGCCACGGTACCACTCTAGGCATTAGGGTTATTGTTAGGATTAGGGTTAGATGTGTGAGGGTTGGTTTCATTAAAGTTAGGGTTAGAGCTAGGGCTGAGAGGACTGGGATTGGTCTAAGGTTAGGACACACAACTAGGAATCCACCTGGAATTCGGCTCACGGCCACCTGTAGCACCTGGACTTCATGTTGCCGTGTCTGACCTAATCTTCTTTCCAAAGCCGCTCTATTCTGTCTGGCTACACATCGGTTTCGGATGCCGGTTCCAAGGTTCCAATAGATTGTTGCTTGCCAGGATCATGAACCATGCTATTTTTGTCTTTCTGAATCTTCGCTTAGGATCCAACACGTTGACAGGCTCTGTGGGAAAAGGGTGCAAGGATTCAGGAATCCTTGGGAAAAATTGACTAAGCAAGCTGTCTGCAGAGTAATTTGGTGAAGGCCGGGTTTCTACCAAGCTGAATGGAGTGTCAATTCAGAAGGATCGCGACTCATCCAGCTAATTTCACAACGTGACCCGTTAGACTGCTTCCTAGCTTAGTATCTGAAGTCGAAATTCCGAAATTCCTCTTATTAAACTCACTGAACGCATTGCAGAAGGTGTCGGTAATGCCATTGTGCCTATATCGTGCGTCGCTGTGCGGCTGCTGGTTGGGCTCGAGAGAGAGCCCGTAAGGCACATGGGAACGAGTAAGTTCCGTTAGAACGATCGGTGAGCGACCCCTATCATCGAATATTCCTGATCGAAAACCGATAGGGCAATGGGCTCGTGGCCCAGTGGTTATAGGCACGGACTTCTAACTTACAGATCACGAGTTCGAGCCTCGGGTGTTCCGCACTTCGGGGTCGGGTATGACCGGCTGACGACAGCTAATAAGCCAGAAATGGCCATTCCAGTCTCCCTTGTCTTTGTCGGTAATTCCATTGTGCCTATATCGTCCGCCGCTGTGCGGCTGCTGGTTAGGCTCGAGAAAGGGCCCGTAAGGCATATGGGCACGAGTGATTTCCGTACGAACGATCGGTGAGCGTCCCCTATCATTGGTGTCTGACATTGTTTTTCGTACATTGTAGGAAGTCGGGTGGTTTGATGCCACCGAAAACCAACCAGGCATTCTGACTGGGATGCTGGCCGCAGATGTACCTATGCTGCAAAATATCTCCGGAAGACGTCTGAGCTCAATGATTGAAACGACCGTTCTTATCGTCGGATCTCTCATAGTAGCCTTTTTCTTCAGTTGGCAGATATCCCTCGTTGCGCTGGCATTCTTTCCCGTCCTCATGATTGCTGGCGCTTTCCAGGTGGTCTACCGACGCGTAGTTTCTACTTATTTCGACCTAACCATAGATGTGTTGGTTTTTCTTTGAATAATTAGCATCAATAAAGTCCAAAAGTGCCTTTTCGCCACCCCCTTCCCTCAGAACTTTGTTTGCAGTTGTCTCGGGATGTGCCCTCTAGTCTACCATGTTTTAATTGGTGCATTTATCCACCCGACCCACCGAGATGATAATCGTGATGTTAATAACTGAGGCGCAGACGGGTGCACCGCCATTCATCTTCTCCGGTCTTCCAAAGAACGATGGGTTTTCTCCGAGATTGAAGACTACTGCTAAAGCATAATAGACTAACGTCTTTCACACAATTTAATTGGGAACATGTTTTGAATCTTTAATCGTTTTGTAGACAATCTCTGGCCATATAAGTGATCCTATCAGTTTTTTTAGATTCCTCCACAAGTCTCATCTGTAAATATCTCCAATGTCTTATTTGGTGAGACACTAATGTAACTTGATCTTTGACATACTGTAGATGAAACAATGGACGGGAGACTCTCAACAAGCAAATGTGAAGGGCGCTGGACTTGCACATGAGACGCTGTCAAATGCCCGAACTGTCTTCAGCCTTGGTGTCGAGGAGTATTTTTGCAGTCGTTACACAGACGAAGCCTTAGTGCAGACAAAGTAAGTCCTTTTTACATTGTCACCGGTGTCTCTCTGTGGAGGCTTTGTCCCCTCGTTGGTGCTTCTCTTGTGTTTCGTTCTTATCTGGATAACACAGTTCATTTTTTGGCATTCCATCTATCCTCGAATGTATTCTTCTGCCTTGTCATTAAATCTCCCACTTGAGTCCTTGGAAAGTCCAGCACCTGATTTTACCAACTGTTTCCCTCTTCTTTTAGGAAAATTGCCAAAGACGTGTCCGTTTTTAGTGCCGTCAGTGCCCTTGCGAACTCTCTCATGAACTTCGAATTCTCTGCCTGCTTTTATGTTGCCGGCATCCTGGTGTCGACTTCTGGAGTTCACTTTGCTGATATCATTCGGTACGCCTCCTGTTGTTGGCTGACTTATCATTTTACTGACACAGGCTTTCTTCAATGAGAGATCCAATGGATTCGTAGTCTAAAACCCTCATTCACTAGGGAGCGGGGCAGTAACATTAATTGAGCGTATATTGCTGTCTTCCGTTGTAAGTTGTCATACCATGACTGTAGTGATGGGGATCAGAAGAACGAATCGAGCAGATCCGAAAGTGTTGTGCTTGACACAGCAACGATGGAGGTGACGATGGGTGCAGTTTTGCATGTTGGCTCGGGTTTTGCATAGGGTACACCAAATGCTCTGTCAAGTTTTGATCACAGGTACTGTTGAAGTAGATAAACCAAAATTTTTTAATTAGTTTGTAAATTTCTGAAGAGGGAGTATTTGGCTGTAGCGGAGTCGTTGGGGCTTGGAAGTAGATTAAGTTCCTGGCGCCTGTCGAGTGACCGCTAGATAAAGGGGGACGTGGATGGCGTTGCCGATTACACACTTTTGGTCAGCTTGAGAAGGTTCCTAAATTTTTGTCATTGTTGGCGGAAGATCAGTGTCGTTTTGGGAGCAGAATCAAACCATTAAACTTTCTTTTCCGGCTCTGCAGTTCATGCATTCTAGAAGCTCAAGAGTTTCAGCTTTATCTCTTCATGTCCAGCAGTTAATATCATCAAGTTGGCCTATTTTACCAATCACGCAGCTCCAGACTGTACAGTCCTAGGGTAACGAACTAAGGGTCGCATATTTAACAGTTGTTTTGTTAGCCACTCGTTTGGGAGCTTCATTTTCTTCATATATCCTCCTCGAGCACTCGTGCCGTCTCTTGGTGGTTCAAATGATGGTCTGGATATCAACTTAGGTAGCAGCACACAACTTGTCAAGGACTGAGAACTTGTGACATTTTTGGGCAGTCGGCTTTCTTTTTGCCACTTGCCCCACAGTGGCCTGAACGTCAGGTGATGTTGACAACGCCACTGCGTCGCATCGGTTGATGCTCGTCCGACTGGCGTCCTTCAGGGACTTGCCTTACGCCTCGGTAACCCGATCATTATTAGAGAGGTTGGCCTCAGTGCCTAGTAGGTATCATTATTAGGATAACCAGGTTAGCAATGGTAGGGAGGCCAAACCTTCTTGAACTCCTAGTCTGATCGTTGTTTCGCTACCTTATGCCCCTTTAAGGACGGCTTAATTTATTCTCCCAGATTGAATCAGGCGAGTTTAACGATTTTGGAAACGCTTGTCGCCCACAAGTACTGTGATATCCCTTCTTTGACAAACCGCTGTGGATGAGCTGTGTGAATCTAAGCTGTTGAACGCTGGTGCTAATCATTTGCTTAAGACTAGATAAGTCTTTTTCGAGTCAATTGTATTTCTTTCACACTGAAGTGCAGACGATTCTGGCGATTTCTATTCGCTTGTCCACTATAGGAGTCAGGCTGGTGGAGCAATAATCTTTTAGTCTATGGAGATTTGGATGGATAGCAGTCATCTCCAGAACTGCGTGTGGAGAGGTTAAATAACTTCCAGAATGCGGTTGGGCCTTTTGATGAGAGGAACTGGAGACGACAGGGGACCACCTAAATCAGTTAAGTTTAAATGCCTCAAATGACACATTTCATTTTGTTGAGAGGGACTTCAGTATTACGGTTTATAAGATTGGCAGGGTCTGTCGGTCTTAGTACCTTTTCTTAAGTGCACGCCAATGCTTCAAAGAAGGTCTCTAGTGCTTCCATTTCCCCGCAGTTTTCCCCTTTCCCTAATGCTGACTGGAGGTTAGGTTCAGAGGTGAGCCTTAGGCGGGCAGCTGTCCATGAATAAGGTTTGCCGTCGGTCCAAATTTGGTTGCGCTCGACTTTTTGTTTTTTGCGAATCACCGACACGCCCAGTCGATGCTTGTTAGGTTAGGTATGAATATTCTTGGCGCTTCAGCTAGTAAAACGGTTCGCGTTTCTTATAGTCCCTTAAATTTTTTTAGAAGTAGCAATGCGGCGGTTGGCGCAATCGATTATCTACCGGCATTGTATCAGGCCCGTTTTTATTTATAAACATTTTCAGATTCCTGGACCACCTTTTCTGAACTGCTTGCACTTGCGTTGACCACTTTCGCATATTGCCAATCAAAAGTGACTTCTGCACTAAGGCGAGTTCTGAAATAGATAAGCAAAACTGGAATGACGACTTTCGACTTACTGACCGTCATCAGTTACCTGTAACCAACCTCATATTTGGGGGACCTGTGATTCGAACTCGGGATCTATGGTCATTGAGCCCAACGTCCTACCACGAAGGCCCAGACAATCGCACATCGACTAGGAGTATATGCTGAAGCCAGTTCCGACTGGATCATAGCACCGCCATATCGTTCACAGATCCTGCTGTGTGGTGGAAGTTCCCGAATCATCCTATACGCCACTAGACGTGCTTCTCGGCAGCGGCCCACCATGGATCGTCCCTCTGCAGTACATTTATGTGCGTAGACATCACGAACTTTCCTTAGCTAAACGACACACGGAAACATTTGAGTCGCGATTAGTGCATCGTACACTCGGCGACAGCAGCTATGTACCATCAACGTCGGTTTGCAGTTTTTCACGGCAAGGAGTTGTCGAAAAAGTAGCACCCTTAGCGAACAAACCCCAGTGTGTTGGATTGTAGGACGGTGATTGTGGTCTCCAGGTCCAGAATCTGCAGGAAGTCCCTGTGCACTCTGACATAAGAAACTCCTGATGATCTTCGTCATATCTAATTTTCTGCTGAACGAAGTACTACGATACGAGTGTCCCGATGGATGCTTGTGGTAGGCAATTCCCAGAAGAACACTGGAGCCAATTGTTATGTGCGTGGCAATGCCTAATCTGCTGAAAATTTAAGCAGAGGGTCCACATCCGATGCGGCCCTTGCCTTTTTATTATTTGAAATCGGAACATCGTAGTAATTCGTCGCTGTGAAACCAAGACCAGATTTGGTCTGAATTTGACCGGGTGTCACGCACACTTTTACTCAGGGCACTTTTCTAATTGGCGGGAAACTCACAAAAACCACCACCACCACCACCACCACCACCACCACCACCACCACCACCACCACCACCAAATTGTGCTTTTTTAAATTACCTTCCTATGCCCTTTGCTAGGTCGTACACAGCTATTAGTTTCGGCGCACAAAACCTCGGAGTCGTTGCCGGATACGCACCAGACACCAAGAAGGCACGTGTAGCCATCGTGAAAATCTTCAAAATCTTAAGAAGGGAGCCCTTACTTCAAGCAAACGAAGGAGAATTCCCGTCAACCGGTTTTCAGGGTGAGCTGGCTTTCAACAACGTTCGTTTCCGTTACCCTACCCGAAAGAAGATTCCCGTTCTGCAGGTTGGTTCTATTTCCTTATTTTTCGGATAACCCAACTCACACAAAGTCTTTGTTTTGTTGATTCTCACGTTTAGCCGTCGCAATGGTGTTTAATTTAATGCTTTCACCTCACCATTTTGAGGTCGAGGAAGGTAGGTAAATCTGACGCTGGTAGGTTGGGTGGGAAAGCCATTTGTTTGGATTGGCATGACGCTGTCTGTCGAGAGAATGCTGGAAATGCAAGGTCAGCATGATAAAAGCCCGACAGGATACACCGTTGCCGCAACAACTGGGTATGATGCATGAAAATCGTGACTCTTGAATGTTTCTTTTTCTATCTACAGGACTTCACTTATGACGTGCCTTTTGGGAAGAGCGTGGCCTTGGTTGGTCAATCGGGTTGTGGGAAGTCTACAGTGTTGCAACTAGTTCAACGATTCTACGACGTGACTGATCTGGACGAGAAGGACGGCATTTTCATGGATGGCATAAACATTCGTCGTCTAGCGCCAAACTGGATTCGCCGACAGCTTGGCGTGGTCTCCCAAGAACCGAACCTTCTACATATGTCGATCAAAGAGAACATCGCCTATGGGCTAAACTATGAAAATCCTACCATGGATGATATCATCAGCGCAGCGAGGCAGGCCAATGCCCATGATTTCATCATGGGATTGCCCGAGGTAAGAACTCCCTGGAAGTAAGGCGCATTTATGTCGAGTTGTGGATATTTTTCGTTTATTGTTTTTCCCACTGTCTATATCTTCCACGTTCATGCATTAGAGGATTTGCCCAAAAACATCGACATTTTATTTACCCAGCCCACAATACTGCACGAATTCCTAAATATTGGAACGCACAAAGTTGTCTGACTAGTCTAAAAAGTTGCCGTAACGCGATCTTACTAATTCCTCGTCTTCTGACTGCTTACCTGTGCTCATCGTGCCCACCTGTTCGTGAAACGGTGTTTCTCCTCGTGTCTTCACAGAACGTTGGCGTCTCGAATACTCGAGCTACAATTACTAGGACGTTTTTAGGACTGCAGGGTGTAAATAAGTAGAACATTTGTGCTTCCTGCGGTAATTTACTCTCGTTCATTTTGTCTGTTTTTTGAGTACTGTTTTTGCCCAACGCGAGGTGTATCGGATGACGGCTATAACGTTTCGAAACATCGATTGGCCATTTCGGGTCGCTAAAGGGAGAATGCTCAACGAAAGTCCTAATTTAAAAGGACCACAAGTTTTAGTTCACCAGGCGAAAGGGGTGATTGATCTCAAGACCTATCAGTTCTTTTCCCCTGGATGTGTATGTGCCCCTATAATACTTACCAGTGAATGGAGAATCGACGACCTCTGTAACCGCGAATAAATTGATGCACAACTGAATCATGAACAGTATTCTGGGTCTTTTTTAAATATTTCCAATTGTCGTCATTGCAACAGCGCTTTTGGAAACCTTAATGGCACACAAAGTCGACTTTATGAATACACAGTAAAGTTAAAGGAATTCCACCAAGCCGCAAATTTCCTCTCGTTGAGTAGTGACTGTCTGTGGACCACTGTCTGATAATGCTGTTGGCGAAGTAACTAGGCATTATAACATGCCTGACGTCCCTAGTCACGTTATTGTCGTGGTGGTGAAGTACTACTTTGTCGATACTGCGTCCGTGCATCCAAAAGCGTCACATGGCAGGGACCCGGCTTGTAGGATGGAAATACCACGAATGCCTTGGTCGTTATATTTACTGGACATTATTTGAAATAATAGACATTTCGATGCTGCATAAAGCATTTACACATTGAAGGGCTTGTCAATATGATTTTTTGACTACAGGATTACGAAACGAACGTGGGTCCCAGGGGATCTCAGCTCTCTGGTGGGCAGAAGCAAAGAGTTGCAATTGCCAGGGCCCTGCTGAGAAACCCCCGTCTCCTGTTGTTAGATGAAGCGACTGCTGCTCTGGACAATGAGAGCGAACGTGTCGTACAGGCGGCCTTGGATGAGGCGATGCGAAAGGGCGAGAGGACTACTCTTGTGGTTGCCCATCGTCTAACAACTGTAGAGAAGTGTGACCAAATCGTTGTTCTGGAAAACGGAAAGACTGTGGAGTCGGGTCCTCCGGATACTTTGATGGACATGAAAGGCGCGTACTATGCCCTTCACAAGGCCGACGTAAATGTCAAGCAGGACTAATGTGCCGGCAATCCAAAGAACTTTCTCTCAGAGAAAGCGCCCTGCCTTTTAACCATTTCCTATACATGCATACACTTCTTATTTTGGTGCTATCCGAAAAGTTTTTAAATATACGGTTTTTACCACTGAAGGAATTTGTTAATAGCTATGTTTTGTCAGCAATCTTGTTGCCTATTACACTTGCCAATCGAGGGGATTATAAATAGGAGTTTGTTTGGCGCGAAAGTACTCTGTTGGCCAACTAGTGTTGGGTGTTTGACAAGATCGGTGACATTGCGTGACTTATTTTCTTAAATCACTGTACAATCGATCACTCCTTCGGAGTGATCGATTGTTCACCATGTTTGTATTAGCCTGCCTGACTCAGCGCATGAATGCTATTTCGTCGTTGCGTGAAGAAAGCAATATTTGCGATGTATGTTTGTGCAGTCGTCATCTCGAAAACGGACATGAGGGCCCAAACTATACTCCATCAAATCCCTTGCATGTGCATATGATGCTCTTTGATTTAGATAGACTGTTTATTGGTTAGCTTCATAGTTAGGCTACCTGTAGGGGCGTGACGATTCTGTGTGGGCTACTTCTATGTCTGGTCCAGTTTGTCTTACTTCCTCAAGCATGATCTATTTCCTACCGTTCTGTTACATCAGAAATAGTGAGCGTCACTTTACCTGGGGCCTATAAACAGCTCACGTCCAGCTCGATATGGCATATTTGACGCTGGGAAAATAGCTCAACGCCAGTAGAAGCGAAGAGATGATGCTGGGTTCGAGCAGGAATGCGAAACGTCAGGCTAATAAAGCTCTTGTGCCAGCGATCGTGTCTCCTTTTTCATCAATGGCTCAACGTTGAGGTCTGATAATATGGGAGGGAGGGTCAGTATCGGTCCAAGTGTTAATAGTTGAGGAATCCATCTGTGCGTTTATGCTGCACTTGAGGTCGTTTCATTTTCGTAAAAGTGCTGCTCAAACGTGATAGCCGGAGAGAAGACGTGTTTAGAGTACCCTACGATCCACCTCGCTGTAATTCAGAATGAGTACTGCCGGGTACTCAGAGTCATTATTTCCGTACGAGCGTATGGAAGTGGGACAGGTAGAATTAGTGGCTAATTCAAGGATGCCATGCAATGATTAGCTTAAGTCGCCGTGGATGTCGACAACTGACAACTTTAGTGCTTGGATAGTTATTCATCAGATGGGAATTTGAGTGATAATGAGGCGTGGTCTATTTGATGCGCTCCGTCAAGTCCCTCTAGATTTTTATGACAGAATTCTATATAATACGGAAATAAGAGTACAGTGTTCAATGCCTGCACACTGGCGACAAGTGGTGGTTTTAATACAGATCGAAAAATAGCCACTATCCTATAGTTTGAGCATGTATTTTGCCGATTTGCTGGTGTTACTTGGCGCCAATACCACAGGTATCGGAAAAATGTATCTATGTTCCTAGACGGCCCCATTCTTTTAAAGGCTTTTACAGGAACGGGAATGTTTTTTAACAAGGATTCATATCGGTCTGACTGTTAGACAAATATGAAGAACGAAAGGCAAGTATTACTTTCTTACGACACGCACCGTTAGCCATAATTTTGGCCTGGACCATTGCTTTGTTCAGCTTTCATTCGCCATGAGAATATATAGGGTGAGGAAAAGTGGCACAAAAACAGAAGCAAGTAAGAGCAGACAGACGCCTCATTGGTGTTGAAGTTGGTAAAGACAGCACTGGGTGTGGTTCGAGGATCTGCATTAAGTCAATATGCCGAAGGGGGTCAGCCTAGCTGGAGTTAGTGAATAATTTTGGTATTTATAATGCAATAAATTAGCCCGTCAGTTTAGGCCGTTGCCCTGTTGTCATACTGTTCCATCTTTCGTTCACGTCTGCAATAAGTTAACATGGCTCATTTTCATTCATGGGATGCTTGGTGCGGGCCCCAGCCAACGCTGTCCAATGCCTTATGGTCGATCTACTATGTGACATTTCGACCGTCGAGAGCGATGACCTTCATCGTGTGCCTTATGGAGTGAATTTATTTATAATTGCACAGGCTTGCACTACATCTGTCGCACTCTCTCCTTCCTCGCCCACCTGGGCCAGGTGACAAGATAGAGCCAGGAGCAGCGGGGCGGCTCGGGCACAGCTGCTGACAAGGCTAGACGGCCCGTCTGCGTGTGCCATACACGACCTGATTCTACCGATATGTATCGGGTTTTCACACAGACAAGGGGACGACTCGGATCCCATCTGAGGAAGAGCTATTTAGCCAAGCCCAACCCTCAAGCCAGTCACCCCAGGCATACACAGCACTGTCCACGAGGACTTAGCTACCCAGTCGGTTGGCGGCATCTCAAGCCACCTTTAGTGCGTCGTCAGAGTTTCAGAGCGCGCCAGCGTAATTCTGGTGAAGAATTCGCCGAAGTGCCATAGGGATGGGTTTCCCAGAGTCGACTTCATTCTCTCTGTTCTCCATCTTATGCTCTGGTCCACTGTCTGGCTCGGTTACCCATCCGGTGTTCGAATTGGACGCAGTGACTGGCGCGTCCTGAATCCTACGCCTTGTCATGCCATCAGACCTCCTCATGCGTGGCATTTGTTATGGGATGCATGCACTCTGCGCAGACTGGCTAACGCGTGCCATGCTCTAATCTGGCCCCGTCATGGTCCAATACATCTCCAGCGTAGATTTAATCCCATTCGCATGGTTGTTCGGAACGCACACCAACGTAGACCTCTGCATGAGGTGGTACCGTTCGGTCATGGATATGAGGATTTTTGTTGTCTAAATATCATAGGAACACCTACTGAGAGGATTTGCCTGGGGAACATCGCATGTCAGCTAAATTCCCAGAGCATAACTACATCCCCAATGAAACGTTTTTGGGATCTACGAACCACACACTACGAAGATGAGGTACTTTCGGATCTAGATGAACTCTCCCTTGATGTTTGCCAGCTGCGCTGGCCTTTTGGAATGGGGTTTTTAGCTCTTGGCTACGCACAAACAAAATCATATCTTTCTGTTTGCAACGTGCAGGACTTTTTTACCTTTTAAGTTGGCCCCATTGCACACCTATTAGCGACATGGTCATTTGTCCTTACTATGTTCTAATGAGCTGCATAACGCCAGTACTCTCTTACTAGAATCTAACGCCCTCTAGTTGGTAAATGGAGGAATTAGCGGATGCCGTAAATTGTCCGTTGCCCTCCATCTTTATGCTGGTGGCCACATTGGTTTCCCGTTTTGGTGTAATTTTCGGAATTGTAATGCTTCTGTGTACGTTATTTACTCAAAAACCGTATTCTGCACTAAAGAATTGCTCTCCTTTCCTAAAAACCTTTTCACGCAGTTACGTTAAGCGAGCGCGTGGCATGTAATCAGGCATGCGATAACGTGTGCAATTCAAAAAACCATCACATGCTAATTGAGTTTTCTTGTTTTAATTTCTGCGGAGGGATTCCTAGTGGGCGAGCTGTTGCCTTCAAGCAATGCTGATCTGTCTAACCTAGTATATGGTTAAGTGGATTAGCAGTTATGGAGTTTAACATAAGTTGTTAGCCAATCTTTACTGTTCCAAAATTTTTTTCCAGCAAACCCCTGGTAATTGCTTAGAAGTCCTGCTGTAGGTCAGTTACTTATCGTTGCGTGGCGTCCGAAAAACTATTAACTCAGTCTCCGCCAGGGGGCTTAAACATGGCAGTAAGTACGAACTTGTGAAATTTGACAGTGTCTTTAATAAACTAAATCTATGCTAAACATCTAGGGGAAGTTTGCATCATGTAAATACCGCCGAAATCAAGCAAGTGGTCAAAGCTGACAACCACACATTTCCGAATATTCATAACCAGGTCTGCACAATAATGCCACGTTGGGGGAGCGAATTGTGAAAACCAGCCAGCGTAAATAACACTGTTGAGGGGGATGTGTTGAGATGCCAGCTCATTCCAGCAGTATTTGTGATCTAGTTCTGGGGTCATAGCGAAAGAGGATGTGTCAGTAAGTTGTGTCTGTAGTTCGCCAGGGTAGAGTGTTTTTCACCTTTTGCCGCCCTCTTGTGGCTTATATTTTCGTGACAGTTCGACCGTCGATTTCGGCTATGTCCACCATGTGCTCCACAGCACGGTGGGATCAGGGACAGGGACTTGCGCGTAAGTTTAAAATGACAGCGGATGCGTGTTGCACCTACCGCTCCCTCCCCTCCTCCTCCTCCTCCTCCTCCTCCTCCTCCTCCTCCTCCGCCTCATCTGGTCCCGGTGTCATAGCGGAGTCAAGAAGACCGGAGACAGGAGAAGACGCGGGTGGCTGGCACGACGCAAACTCGCACCAGGGTGTATAACAATAACCCCTACATCATTATACAGGCCTGATGATGGATAATCGTAAACGTGCGTTTGCCTGATTTCCCCTTTTATAAGTCTACATTAATATTTCCGCAGCACAATGACTCGAGTGGGCATTTGTGACTTGTTAGTTGCTGACAGCCAGCGCGACTCCAAACGCGGCTTTGACGAACAGGGCTCAGAACCCTGATCCAACGTTCTGCCATTGCGTGGCAGGCCTGTTGCCATGTCAGTTACGATAGGAGATAGTAACGGGCCTGGAACCGTCTTGGCTGAACTACGAGACGTGGTCGTGCCGTCGTGACTTGGAGCCCAGTGTAGAAACCTGGCAGGCAGTCGCGCAGCCAGTTGGTGTTCTGGTCGTAGGCCGCATGATATCGGGTCGGTAACGCGGTGGCAGACCACCGGACTTAACGCTGACTAATCAAAGGGTCTGGGTTCTAGTCCCGTGTGGTTCGAAACCGCGCTTGAGATAGGGCTCGTCGAAGGCAGTATTTGCGAACACTCGGGTGACAGACATGAAGGAGCAGTCGGGTGATTCGTCTGCCGTGCTGAAATACTACTCACCTCGCTGGCTCTGTATTTACCAGAGGTCTGTATGAGACACCTGAACAGAAACCGAATCTGCACATTGGCAGAGGACTGACTAAGGACAAAGGTTTCCCATCGTCGAGCCGGTCGGAGCGCGTCGCGCCCAGACAGATTAAAAATAGAAGCGAATTGGCGAGTTCCAGGAAGCAGTTTGGAAAAAGAAGACGCGGTTGCTGGAACACGAAGTTTATTGGCCTAACGTTTCGGATCTTCACTCGAGCCCATCAACGGGGAAGGTCGCAGATAAGGATAATGGGGGGGGGGGG